ACAATGTTTCTGAAACATTACATTACAATATGCAACGTTGCAGCAATATTACTGCAAGCGTCGATGCTATATGGATATACGAGTATGAATAATGTATGCACATATGCAAGTATACTTTTTGTTGATATATTGAACTCTTTTTTTATCATTTTGTATGAAGTGCTCACGAGATCGACTGATAATCGATGGTCAGTTGACAAAAAAAATTTAAAATCAAACCGAATATCGATTTTAGTTGATTAAAAATCGGCAAATATTTTGACTATAATCAGCTATTAGTCAGCCAAGAGTTAATACAAAATCGACTTTATGGCGATTATAAGCCAATTATGAAATATGTTTCGATTTTATGGCGATTATAAGACAATTATGAAATATGTTCCGGTAAAAAAATTTTTGTATGTAATTATATGCTAAAATCTGAAATAAGTATTTATTAACATCACATTCCAGAACATGTACGCAAAATTATAATAAAAAAACGTTCTTCTTTAAATTCAAGAATTAATTTCATAGTATTTCGAAACGAATACCTATCCTAAAGCAACACATTCAACGGTGCTTGAACTGTAATCATATGGGAAATGCTTTTCCAATGACTCACACTGAATGTTAATGCATGTAGATATTGTAAATATAGCAGACATATTTGCTCAATAGATGTTGTCAAAAAGATAGACTGTGTACAGTAAAATATATATTTCTCTTTCTCTCTTTTTTTTTGTTTCTTTCATAAATAAATCTAAATATTTACAATTTTTATGGCTGAATATTGCAATAACTATTTTTTATTAGCCGATAAGATCTTTAGCACTGCAATATTTGTTGTATTCTCAAAGACATAATTACAATTAATAGGATAATGAAAAGATATTTCTTACAGATTATCTTTTTGACAAAAACATCTCATAAACATCTTTTGTTTGCCAAAAAAAATGACTGAAAAAAACATCTTTTAGTCAGTTTTTTGGTATTTTATACTGTCTTACTGAGAGAAAAAAATAATACCAATAACTGTAAAAGTATAGTGAAATAGCACCTTAAGAAAAAAAGTAGTTATAGGAAAAAAAGTCTCATAGTTAATTGAAATATAGAAATATTATTGAAATAATTGAACAATATATTTGACTCGACTAATTAAATGGGCGAATAATTAAATGGCAAACTATATTTTTATCGTCATTAGTACTACACTGAAAATCATTGCCGCAATTACAATATAAAAGTATGGAGAAATAGCACTTCAGTTTTTCATAATTAATTGTGTGAAGAAAAATGCTGTAGTTAATGGAAATACAGAAGTATTAGTAAACACAACCAACTAATATAGCTATTAGCACTGAGAATCGTTGCCGCAACTACAAAAGTATACTGAAATAGCATCTCTTCTATTCATAATTAGTTATGGGAATAAAAATATCATAGTAAATTGAAATGCAGATATTGGCAAAATATAACTAAATAATATAATTAATATTTGTAAACAGTTCTGCGATTATTATCAATAATATTGTTGTCACAACTATATTTTTATTATTACAATAATTATTTTTATTTTTAAGATACAATTTTTATTTCTTAATTATATCAATACGTACAAAATTTATTTATATATTTGTTAAACATACAATTTATTTAGTTACAATTACGCATTGGATATTTGAAAAAACGCATGAGTTATTGATGGGATTTGAACTTAAGACTTCTAGAGTGGTAATCTACCTATGCTAACGCTAAACTAATCGCACGCTTGGATCGATGCTTGATGTATTTGATTGTTATTACTCCCGTCCCGATCATGTCTCGCTCAAATCAAGCAAGATTTTTCACAAGAGTGCATCAAAATCTGTTTACTTGAATAATTTTACAAATTATTTATATCTTATGTGACACAAGAATAAATTGTATGTAATTAATAATAAAAATATGTTCTTTGTTTAAACTTAACGAATTTATGTACTGAAGAGGGTCAAATCTTGACCGAAAGGTCTACATGTTAAAATAATAATATTTAACTTATTGACATCTTGAGCTGTGTGGCTTTAGTTATGAAAAATTTAAATACAGAATTTTTCTAAGATAGCTAATTTTCTGTCTGTAACGATAAAATCATACAATTATTACTTTAATAATTATATTTTCTATTATACTTATAATTTCAAGTTTGGCTATCAATACACATACAATGAAACATACGCGCGCGCGCAGAGTTTTCGACTCAATTCAAATCCGCTCTATCTACACAAAAGCGATTGGCCAAAATTTTAGGGGACACTTTGTATATGCGTATAATATATGTATAACTTACAAGGTGCATTTTAGTAAATATATAGTAAATTTTGATAAAACGCTCGTGTGTAAAATGGACTAAACTGAATTGAAAAATCATGTATCATTTTGCAATTTTTGCAATAGTTAACAAGATATTAATTACTAAAAATTGCTCTGAATATTGGTTTTCAATAATTTTTTACTCAAACACTATCAACTTTACAAAGAAACAATAAGAGACAAAAATTGTTTATTTTCTTCTCATAAAGTTCTGAGAAATTTTTTAAAATTTTTTAATACCGTATTTTCTCATATTAGTAAAAATAGTTAAAAATATAAGAAAATGTAATACTAAAAAGTTGACAAAAAATTCTGAAAAAATTTTAGAGTTCTAGAGTTCTAAAAATAAACAATTTTTGCCTCTTGCAGTTTTTCTGTTGATAATATTTGAGAAAAAAATTATTAAAGACCAATATTCGACAATGTTTAATAATTAATATCTTGTTAACTTTTGAATTGCAAAATGGTAGAAAATTTTTCGACTCAGTTTAGTCCGCTCTATCTATACAGGAACGCTTTGTCAAAACTTACCAGACATCCTGTATATTATACATATATGTATATTACACACATATACATATAATACACACATATATTGTATATTACACGCACGCACGCGCATGTATGTATGTGTCTTATTGTATGTATATACAATACAAGAACGCTTTGTCAATAATTACGGGACACCCTATATATACATTAAGTACTATCTTACGAAGTGAGATCCATTCCAACTTCCCCCCTGCCTCAGGGCATACAACTTTCCACGCAAAGTAATTTCCGTTTCACTTCCTCCTCTGCCTAGAAACGTATGAACTATGATTTTCCACGCGAAGCAAGCTCCACCCCACTTCACTCCTGCTTACGGACGTAACGACTTTTCATGAGGATGAATCTTGCTCTACATAGAAAATCGAACACCCCGAAGCAGAGCGGAGGTGGGATGGACCTTGCTTTGCATAAAAAGTCATTACGTAAGCAGGGGAGGATACAAACTAATTTTTAATATTATATGTGGCAGAAATAAAACATTATTTGTTAAACCTTTTTAGTTAATAACTTCTTAACGAATAATAAGCGACGGTTAAAATCTGTTGGAGGTCACTCATGATCTTGACAACTAATTTAAGGTCATTGGGGTAGTCTCTCATTCAGTATATTTACTCACCTATGAGAAATAATTATATTATATTTATAAATATATTGTATTCAAAATGCATATTTATAAAAGCACATTCTGAATATGGGCCATTCTCTAAAAGAAAATGTCGATCTAAAGAGATTAAAATTAATTATTTATTATTTTCGACTTATTTTGGTCAATCTTACATAGTCATTTTTCATAAAAGCGGTTGTATATATATTCACACACTTTGTTACAATAATAATTAATTGACTACAGTAAAAATTATCTAAGATATTATATATTATTTCTATGATTATAGAGAAATCACGATTGATAAACTAATAAAAAAATAAAAAACGGAGCTAAAAAAAATTTACTTTATATCAATTCATATTTTCTTAAATTTTGTAAGTAATATACACAATGTTTTTAGTGCAATTAAATCATTTTGCACAACAATTTAATATATTATATCAACAATCTACAGTATAAAGAAGAGAATGCTTTGCTATAAATACTAATTAAGTTATTAACTTTGTGATAAACTTATAACAACCGACCCTGATTTGCTATACCTTATCGTCGTAAAAAATTGTTGTTTTAGAAAAACTCTGTATTTAAATCTTACACAACATTGCTAAAAAGGGTTGATAAAAGATAATGTTGCTTCTTAAGAATAAAACGTTGTTTTTTTTAAATATGTTTTTAATGCTTTATACATGCTTTAAACAGTATTACAAAAGAATATATTTAAAACATGTTAAAAACATCGATTAAGCATGTTTTAAACAGTTTAAAACATAAGTCTGTTTTCTGTGTGAACTAGTGTACACTTTTGGAACTTAAAGTGAGATAGATATATGTTTGATATTTGTTTAAAGCAAGAAAGAGAGTTTTAAAACAGTCTAATACAGAAACAGAAAACAGACCACACGTTTAAAACATGATTTTTATCAACCTTGTTAAAAAGTAATTGAGACACTCATAAAAAAATATGTTTTATAGGAAATGAACAATATACTCGTATTTCATGATCTTTTGATCAGAATTAAATATCAGAATAAAATATCCTTAATCTTTTTTACATTAGATTGTCAAATATGGTAAAAAAAATTTATTTTGATATGTTAAACTTTAATTTTTTCGGCAACCAAAAGTATTGATAAAATTTGGCATATAACATATTGTTCTTAGTAAAAAATCCATATAGAAGAAATACCTTATCTCTAATTCAAAGTAATTAAAATAAAACATTTTTTTGTAAATTGATACATAATAATCGCGCGAGATTTAATGGCTCAGAGAGGAATATTATTATTCAGATTATTACACATTACTCACGTCTTGAACATGACGTTATTCACTTAGGCACGTAACATTCACCACGATTGATAAAAGACAACTGTCAAACTTAGGGAATACGAATTTACTCTTGGAAAAAGAGGCGACCACTTTCGTAGCGCCGCTAAGTTCTGTCCTCAGATACTGGGAACTAGAGAGCCACGTGATGAACAGTGGGGGTTGGCGTCATATTTAAATCTATATACGCGCTCACGTATGCGCTTGTATGACTTGGTATGTTAGGTTGCATGCGTAAAACACATGATGTGCATGATGTGATTTTATCCTTATTGTTCACCAAATGTTATACAAGGATAAAATGCAACATCGTGAGCATCATGCGTTTTACGAAATGTAGCCTAACTAGAGGTATAAAATTGCCGTCAAATTCAATTTGACAATTACTTATGATAAAATTACGGTAAAATAGTAATTTATTGATAATTTTGACAAAATTTGTTTTTTTATAGTTTTATGCACAAATAAATTTTATTCATGTTTTCCACATTAATGCATAATATAAAACAATATTCTTTCAATATTCTCATCGAGAATATAAATCGCTGATAGAATAATAATATGACTGTTTACTAAATCTAAAATTTAATCGATGCTAAAATCCGTTTTCAATATATGGTTTTCAATATATTCCCTAGAGATTTTATGTAGTGATCAAAAAATAGAAAACAATGCAGATTAAAAATTCCAGTATTTTTTACATAATTCCTTGTTCTATATTTTAAAATCCAGTTTTTTACTGAATTATTTAAAATTATTCTATATTTCTACAATACTTACAATTAGATATTCTGGCAGTGCAATTGTAGAAAGATTATTTTATTTTTGATATATAATTGTCTTTGTTTTTACTTTAATAAAAACTTTAACAGTCTAGTTGCTAAAATAACAAGCAAATATTATAAATGGAAGTTTTATAAGTTTAATTGTGTGTGTGTGTGTGTGTAAAATAAAAAATATAAAAATACAAATAAAAAATCAAAATATGTACAAAATAGTTTACTGTACTTGTTATATTTTTTTTTAAATCCTAATAAAAAAACTTATTATATTTAAAGTTTCTTTAGTTTAGACTATGTACCTAGTCTTTTAATTGTTATATATTTAATATATAATAAATTTGAAAAACGTTAAATACGAAGCGCTCTTACAGTTCCGAGTGTTAAGATGTTGAGTGTTAAGATGAACTAACATTCATTTAAATTAAAATTAAATTAAATT